CGATGCTCTTCTTCGAACGGAACCCCGTCGTTCCGCCGTCGAATAATGGCTGGTAAAGGAAGAGGAAACTCGTTGTCCCGCGCAAATTTATCGCGAAGCGCCGATTTATATACACACCGCCTCCGGATGATCTTTGCGAAACGAAGGAACGAGGCAACATATTCCTCGTCGTCGAGAACGGTGGGTCGTGTTATTGCGGCTCCTTCCATTGTGCGGGAAACGACTTGGTCGGGTTGAGGGTTTCGAGTTGGAAAAGTTGAAAATGGAATTGGTGGTGAGGTAAAGCGGCGATTAGATCGATCGTGATTATTTGGGGAGAAGAAAGATTGGATTTTTTAATGAAAATGATATTCGATGAGGGAGAGAGAGAGAGAAACGTGAAGTTTCTTGTGCAAAGAGAAAAATCAGCATGGAGCAACGTTTCATTAGCTGTCACGCGAATGGATCATTAGAGACACGGGAAATGGTATTTTTCCAACAGCTGTAATTGAGTTGTAATATTTCACGGGTAAAAATCAGAAGGGAGAAATCGTTTAATAACAAAAGAAAAAAAAAGATCTCGATTCACTTAATTTACTGAATATTATTCGAACGATCAAGATTTCTCGAGGAAAGATTTTTCGACAAAACATACGTTTTAAAGAGAGAACACGAGAATTGTCTGAAATATCGCGAATAACGTCGTTTTTTTTTTTTGTTTTTTTTTTAAATTCTCGAAGAAAGCGTCCGAGAAAGCGTCTCTCTGAATACATTGCGAGATTATACAAGTGATGCAGCTCGGGAGAATGCAGGATCAATGGAAGGAAATGTCGAGAATAGAAGAGAAATGAGAATTTACCTTGAGTGTATCCTGCAAGTTTTGTACTCTACAGTGCATGTATACTTGAGCACCGAGTTGCACGGTAATGTTGCTCTCTGGATCTTCGAAAAAGGGCCTCGGTTCTGGAGTGCCGCCCGTTTCTGTAGCGAAACTTTCCACCTCGTATACCTGTATTTAGATCAAAAGAGAAACAAACGTGATAGAAAATATCAGGCCACTTCTGTCTTTTCTTTGCGCATAGAGGAACGTGCGTTTATAATTGAAAGGCAACAATAGGAGATGAAATCTATACAGAACAAAATTATTCGAACGGAGATAAGAACTTAAGTTAAAAACTTGACACAATCTAGTGTGATGATTGAAAAAATACTTACAAATACCGACTAATTGCAATTTTTCCAAAAAAAGAAAAAGAAAAGAAAAGAAAAGGAACTTCAAAAAATTCCAGTTTCATTCCAAAGGGTGATCCCTTTCTTTCCTCTTATGTAGAGATTTTATTCTCAATGTCCAAAAAAAAAGAAAAAGAAAAGGGAGGCTGTACATATTAGTAATAACCATCTCTCTCTCTATACTCCAGTTTCAAGTTTTCAGAACTCGTTAGGAGGATTAATAATAAACGGGATAGAGAAATCCTTGATAAAATGCAACAAGAGGGATATCGTTTGAAAATAAGGTTATTAAATTCGCGGGAAGATCACTTGAACGCTTTGTAACTTAAAAGTTACGTAAATATTTGAGAAGGTCTTATAACCGTTTCGCCGTCGACACAAAAGGGATCACCCCCCTCCCCATTGTCTGTAGCAAAGCAGCGGCGAAAAGTATGTCCTGCCGCACCCTTTTTGAAAAGACATTTTCAACTGCTCATTCCAATTATACAGCCGACTTACCTCGGTAAAAGGCGAACTGAGCTCATGCCAGAACGACCTAGGCAGGTTTTCCAGTCCAGGAAACGGCTTAGCACCTGAAACAATTTAGAAACCAGATTACACGTCTCTCCCCCGTCTAAGCTTTATTACAGAGAGATACAACGATATAATTAAACTTGCCCGCAAATTTACCGCCCCCTATCCTCCCCCTCCCCTTTCCCCCTTCCCTTAACAACGTCTACTCGGTTGCAATAAATGAACGACACTCTTAATTATTCGAACGAGGCCGCGCAGTTTGATTAAATCGGCACGGGTCCTATTATTCCGCGATAATGAGAATTAAACTAAAATCACGGGGAGAAATTCGATTTTCAGGAATTATATGTAATCCAATTCAATTATCACGCTGTTGTAAAACTGTATGATTTAATTAATAACGTAACAGGTGTCCAGTGTGTATCTAGTTGTAATTCGTGAAAGTGTTCGAATTTTAATCTAGGGAATCGTGATAATTTTAATTTTAATGGAAGTTTGCGTGTATAGGTATTTTTTTTTGTTTTTTTTTAGAATTGTGGAATTTTTGTAGGTGATAGAGAAAGAGGGAAAAAGAGAAAGCATTAAAATTTCAATATTTTATGTAATTTCTATTTCGTATCATTACTTTATATTTAAAAAAAGAAAATGGAGAATTTTAGAAGAATAAATTTCAAGTTAACTTTCACAATGATATATCATTGATAGAAAAATAATCTCGATATCTCGTGTTTTATATTAATTGGAACGATATATCCAAAAATTAAATGCAACGTGCTTATTTTTATTATTGACAATTTTGTTTTTCAGCGAATGTTGAAATAGTTATTGTGTAAATAAGGATATCAAATGCGTAGATATATTTATTTTAGAATTTTTTATTTAGATCTAACGCGTTTCTATTAAAAAAAAAAATATCTATTTCCTTTATTCGTAAATATAACGAAAAAACAAACAAGTATAGCGTTTATCTGAAAAAATATTTTTGATGGACGCATCGAAAAATGGTGTACATAGGGACAAGGGTTGTAAAAAATAATCGATCCGCTTTTTCTACCGGCCAATGTATAGCGAGTATTTCTGTTGTACGTCCATTTTATAGTGCGCTTCGTTAAGCTAAATCCTTTGGTTTAAGCTAAATCCTACCAGTCATCAAAAGTAAATAATTGTTTTGGAAGAAGTATCTTATTCACAGTTAACGTTAAATATAATAATTAATCTAACTTAGTGAATTTTGACGATAAAACTTCGATCCCTTTCCTTAAAACTTTATTTCATCTCTGAGACAAGATTCTAGAAAAGATAATTAACTTATTCTTATTGCAAAAACGCATTGCAATAAGAAAATAAAAAACGTTTAAGATACATTAGATTTCATCTTTTCACAAAAATGAATAAAAGAATAAAATCAAACTCTCTTCGAAAAATCATTCGTAATCAAAATTACGAAAATCAAAGTACTATGATCGTTTTCATAGCAACTTTTTCAAATTTTGATCATAAAAATGTACACGATCTGTGTAAAGAAATAAATTCATGGAAAATAAAAATTTTCAACATCATTTCTTCGATTATCACTTATCTTCGAAAAGTCTACGGGATCGATGCCAAAAATTCTTGCTCCGATCCCATTTTGAGAACAAAAAGAACAGAAGAAAGAAAATGGTCCGGCTGTAAAGACAAAAAGGGAACGAGTTTCCGAGAAAACCGGCCACGTCGTTAGTGTAATAGACACGGAAAATCGAATTACTATGGAAACAATCGCGAAGTTGGGGGAACGAGTGTGCTGCAGTGGAAAAGTTTTTCACTTTCTAGAAGGGCGTAGAAGGAAACTCGTTCGCTTGTCGACGAATAGAATGGCCTTATCAGGGACGAGCACACGCGGCCGTACGCGAGTTTCCAAGACGATACACATAAATGTATTCCCCCTCTAAGGTTACATGGCACACCAGAGGGAGCAAGAGTAAACTTAGCTGAAATAAGAGATCCGGCGTGAAGAGTGTGAATAGAGGATTGGGTGCGTAATTAACGAGGGGTAAAATTTTGAATGAGATCATTTCTTGTCTTCAATGGAACACGTTGAAGCCGAGGGATCGAATGAAATTTGCAATTAATTAGTGGAACAATTAGTGATTTTTTTCTTGTTCTCGTTGAAGAAGTTTTATTTCGAGTGTAAATTTATTTCTTTGGAAGCAGAGAAAGGTTGAACAGCGATATTTATTCTCCGCTTGAAAAAGATAAAATTCTGAATACAAGTAGTTTTTAATGTTAATTCTTTCTATTCTGATAAGACATGTAAAATAAGTCTCGTTGAATATTTTCATGTCGTTTTTATAATACGTCTGATTGTTGATAAGATGTTAATATATTCGCAGGCTTTCTTTTAGGAAGATTTAATTCTAAAGGGAAACAAACGAATACAAAAATAAGTTGAGCCTATATAGAGCTATCTTACTTTGTATAATCAATTTGTTTTGGCTTCTAGAATCAGTCATTCAAAGATCCTACGAATATATTAATTATTTTCTGTGCTACCATTGATTAGAAAAGAATACAAAAAGTTGACCAAATTTGATCTATATTTACAGCTTAGTATTAGCTCTAAAAAAAAATAGATATAGGAATAGGAATCGAATTTTACCAAATAACTTCATTTATAAAATTTTACAATTTCGTTCAATTCCTAATTGATAAAATAATATTACAAAAAATTAAATAAATTTGCAATTTTCATTATAGAGAATCTTGCAATACTATGTAACTATGGGAAACATGTTTTGTAAGTGTGCATAGGATACTTCATGCTGACAACTTTGGGAGTACCAAAGGTACAATGTTGACAAGTACAATAAAACAGAATCTGGAACTGGCAATCCTCAAGAGTCCCAATAACAAATAGAGTTTAATTCCAAGATCGTGGAATTGAACTTCTCGCCGAGGTTACGAGCAACCTCGTATTCATAAAACGGATTTAAAGCGATGAAACGGAATTAACGATCTCGAAGTCATTAGGTGCAACAACGCTCGACTAGCCGCCATTTCAGAGTTCAATAAATCTCGGTACCAGATATATCATAAAAGAACTTTAAAAATCTATAATTGAACGTTGGAGATCGAAACTTTCTACGAAGTACTTTCTGAAAATTATAGGATTCTGAAAAATCAATATGATATCTAAAACTTCAAAAACTTGTAGTTAATTACAAGTATTTTCAATTTATTCCATTTTTATATGCTTCGTTCAATATTTCATGGTAAATAATTATTTCTCATAAAGATATTCAAATAATAATCGATAGATATTCAAATGCAGATCTATTATGATCTCGTTCTCTAGGTATACCTAGAATATCCTAGGTATCCCTAGGTATCCCTAAGGAAAAACTAAAGCATCATAACGATACTTCGAATAAAAGTTATATCAATGAATCTAAACGAATCTAGTAATTTTTATTGTTAATGATAAAAATAATCTCTATAAGTAAAGTATTGACATTTTATATGATAAGTGAAGCGGAATGTATGAACAAAGACTCCATCATCCCTGACATGAGACTCTATCTTCGAATCATATTGTCATAACCCTCACGATCAAGGTCTTTAGTATCGACTTCCTGGGTTGTTCGTATCGCATGTTACAACCTCGTCGCCGATATCGAGCTTCATTACATAGGGGTCATCTGTGTCGTGTTTCACCAGCTGGGATTCTCGATATCGGGTTTCATGACTATCAAAGTGTCTATATAAGTGAAAACTGATATGGAACAATTGGATGCTGTAGTAACGATCATTTGTATCACGTTTATCTAAAACAGTTCATCATTTCTTTTTTTGGAAAGGAAGGAGGTAAAAATTTTATCACGTCCGTCTATAATAATTATTTTGAATGCGAAAAACTTCAAAAATCGACGAATTAACGACAGGTTCTTAAACAAGTTTTCTGATCCAATCTATCTTAAAACTTTTTAATGCGTGTTTTTAAAGAAGTTCAACCCGTACTTGGTTAATTAAGATGAAAGTTTCGCGTTATCATCATCAATTTATGAACCATTACCTCGATAAAACGTAGAAGAAAGTATTTTTGCAAGGATAATTTCAAAATATTAATTCCAAAATAAAATAAACAATATCAACTTGTCGAAAATTTTTTTCTCCTTGCTTGTGACAAGATTTAATTTAAATTAAATAATTCGATCAGTCCAGATCTATCCCTTGAATGCTTTACGAAGAATAACTGAAAACTACAATGTCTCTTAAATGCTGTAAACCTAATCAAAACGTAAGTTAAACTCTTAAAAATATCAGATAAAGAATTGAATCGTTTATAGCTTGAAAAATAAACTTCAACGAACGTTTTCTCAGTTTAATTTCAGTTTCAAAAAACGTTTTTTAAATTTTTGTATTTATCTCACTTAAACATTTTCTACAATTACCACTTTTCCTACTATTCAACGTAATGAATGCTATGACGGTTGCATACGTAATAGACGTTAGTTTACCTACTTCCCCGTGTTTCTGCCATTTATATAATCACCATTCGTTTAAACTAATACTCATACTTGCTCATTTCTACTATTCTACTAACAACTATTCTACTAATTTTGTACATTTTAAACGAGCAAACTCATACGTCTTGACAATTAAAATTTTAGAAACACCTCAGCCTCCAAAATCTCCGACCAAACCTTTTTCAACAAAACGATGTCTTCCACAATGTCTTCCACGACAAATATTCCATTCAATTTTTGCTATATTACATGGAGGACGAAGACGCGATCGATCACATCGAACGACACGATAATTACACGTTTAATCGTTCTTTCGTCGGTATTCAATTTCGCCTGGACGAAATGCAGGGATGCTCGTTAATTTGATCGCCTTCGGCTCGCAGCTGCGTGCTTCTAGCATCGTTTCACCTCCAATGAGCGCGTGTGTCGGAGCATATATCGACAATTCTTGCATAATTCGCGTGCCCATTCGCCACGAACGAAATTGAAACACGTGCGTGCTTCATTTCTATCGAGCACAAAACTCGTCCGATTGTTAATTCATCATCCACTTT